GGAGGATGGCAAGACTTCATCTCAAGTACTATGGACATATTATCAAGAGGGGCGAGTCCCTGAAAAAGAACATTATGTTAACAGCAGATGCAGCAATGGGCTCAACAATCCTGAGAATGGTGGGGGCCAGGGAAGCAGTTCATTCTGTTTTACAGAGGGGTGCTATCCGTCAGAGCCAACTCAATGACACCTAGTAACAACTAGGTAGAGTGTGACCATATGAATCTAAATTTTACATTCTTTTGTATTAAATTTTATATCCCTTTGTGTATCTCTTTATGTCAAATATCCTGCAATAAAAAAATGCCACCAAAAAAAAAAAAACAAAAAAAAAACCCCAAAACCATACCATGAAGTGGGCACTATTCTTGTTCACCTTTAAGATGAAGAGAGACATAGAGAGTCTGTATGGAAGGAACACTTTGCAGCAGAAACAGATCCTCGTCCTGCTGGTCTCCTTCTACAGTCTAACTAAAAATCTTACATATTTTACTTCTGTTTGACAACTAGTTCTAGGAGCAGGAGAATTCAGTTGTACATAGGATCTTACTGACTTCAGATCTGGGCAAGCCACTTAACTTACTCTTCAAGTTTGCCACTAATGATGTTTATTATGAAAGCCATCAAAGGAGAATGAATGAACAGACAAGATCGAATGCCTCTAGGAGACTTGATGGAAGAAAACAAAAGAACAACAACAACAACAAAAACCAGAATCAAACTTCCACTGACAAAACCAAACCCTTTTGAACATTTCTTAACTTTCTGTGACGCCTTTCTTATTTCTGACAATTTCTTAATTTAACAATTTCTTTGGTGACTCACTATTCTTAGAAAAGGTACAGTGTGAAACAAGGCAGCCCATGAAAGGTTTCTCAGCTGCCGGAATGTCTCAGCAGGTGCTTAGTGTTAGAAAAACTGGAAAGACAAGATCCTATTTAAGACAACAAATTCCATGGCCACAAAGGGAAGCATGGCTTATGCTGCATTTGGAGTAAACACGCCAAAGCATCTATCCATGGTTCAATATTTTAACCACCACACTCCTACATTTTAGAAGGTTTTATATAATAATGCAAAGCAACTTGGAATTTGGATACCATCTCCCAAAACTCT